ATCTAATCAAATAGAGTTTTTGAAAATTTAAACTATAAATCTCAAAGCATGCATTTAAATTTTTTTAAGCAAAATACACATTAATCTTGTGTTTTCAAAATTCAAAGAAATGTAGAATCTGATTTAAGATTTAGAAAACTTTCTCTGCATATATCTCCCAACCTCGAGGCACTTTCTTCGCGCCATAAGACTGACCTACCTTATAAGGGGATAAAAGTCTTTGAATTCATGAAATATGTAAAGAAGCGAGCCATAAAAGTATCATGAATGTCGTAAAAAATTCTTTAATACCGGAATTTCTTTATCATTAATGCAAAGGCACTTCCTAAGTTTTCACTCTTTTCTCCCGGAAGGCGAAGTAATGTTCAAATTAGGGGGACATAAATTTGAAACAAAAAGCTTTCTGTTGCAAGAACTTCCCTCTTTATATCTTATTAGATGTCCTACAGTCACTTTGTTTGTGCTTCTTGCAGCAATACTACTGCAAGTCGAGAAATTCTTTTGGTAGGTTAACAAGAAATATATCTCCTTTTTAAGGCATGTATAGTTAAAAGTAAGATAGGATAACAGTAAACTGTTTCTTTATTACATAAGTTATCGTGTTTTAAACATTTCTGTACAATTTGTTTGGGATTTAAGCATAAAATATGAGTAATAAAGTGCTGAAAGATAAATAAAATAAATATTCGATTTCTGTATTTTAAAATTTTGTAAATTATTGCGAGAGGAAAAATTTGCGTTAACTTAAGTGTAGATCATCATTTAATTTACGTTTGAACGAACTAATAGCACTTAAATTTTTTTAGCTTTGAGACTTGTTTTTCTTTTAACGAAATATAATTGAGGGATATCGAAACAAAACACCATTTTTTTAATACTTTAATATGTGCAGCACTTTCATTTTGTCTGTTCTTCATGCAGCAATACTACATGGAGAAAAAAGTCTGGGGAAATAAATAACCATTCTTGTATATTAAAAACATTTCTGGTATAAAAACCTGGTAATTTTAAAAAAACATACGCTACTTAAATCATACATTTATCAATTTTACCGTTCGCTATAGTAACGGTTTACCGGTAAATCTGGTTTTCGAAATTATAGTTCTTATTACCATGCACTTAGTAACGAATACAAAATTAAAAATTAAATTTAATCAAATTAAAAATTTTTATGCCGGATTCTTTAGTATTACGAAAAATTACCAAAATATTTTTCAGAACTGTAACTTATTTTACCATTTATTTGGTGATTTTAACAATTTAACGTCTCTGTCTCTTACCAAATAGCGTAGTAATAATCTGTTTACACAGCTATAGGTTTCTTTTTCACGGCAGTTTATTAAATAGCTTATAGAGTAATATCGCGGTTAATAATTTTTTTCTAATATGATAATTAATTATAACAAGCAGTAAAATTACATGACTGATGGTTTCAAATGCTAACTTGTTTTAAAGATCATAAACTTAGATATATCAAGTTATTATGTCTGCTTTATCCATCTGTTCTCTGCTGAGTAATGGGGCTTCTTTATTTATTCACGTACATAAATGGATTTTTTTTTAAAATGCAAACTTCTTTCTTTGCAAACCTTTTTTAATGCGAAAAACAATCATATCTTCTTGGGTACTCCATTTTTTAGTGGTATTGTTCTCCCACCATACCTTCTGAAACGTAAAAATAGAGTTTTTTTCGTCAATTTGTCCTTTAATTTAAAGAGAGACAAGTCATTCTTTTTATAAAGCACAGGGATCTGCATATATATATCTGAACTAAATATATTTATTTATTGTTATATATCCAAGATTAAGACGCTATTCCAACCAGTTTCCTCCATTTTAAATAGCATTTTACACAAAACAAGACTGCTAGCCAGAAAAATCACTGTAAAACGCCTGAATTACTGTTTCAGTACTTCTATATATATTTATTGTTATACATACGCATACTGACTTGAATGCTCATTACAGTGAATAATCAAGTTGAATAATAGATAGCACAGGTTAGATATTATATAACACAATTTAGAGTTGGACATAATAGCGCTGCATCGATTATATATGCATAAATTGTAGTAGGTTCGAATCCCCCCGTATTCCTGGTTATATCTTTGTAATTTCTTGTTCTATATTGTGCTATGTGTTCTTCAACTTGGCTGGGGCTTAAAAGGAAGCACATGAAGCCTGCCTATGTATGTGTAACAGTAAATATGTATGAAAAAAGACACATCCAGGGTTGTGGTTGAGATCGGAATTCTATTTGCAAGTTTGGTGACTAACATTTAAATTACTGATTTAATTCAGCCTTGTACAGACAATTTCATACTTACAAATACGTATTTCTTAAGTTGTCAAAGTTGGTAAGCGTTTGCTTGCAGTTTGCATAAAATCTGTAACAACTCGCCGACCTAAAATCAACAATAGCAAGCATTTAATAACTAGAGGTCATCGAGCTGAACATGCGATGTTATTTCAAATTTTACTAGACTATGAAAATTATCAATTATTTTCCTAAAATTACCAACTCTTTCAAAAAAATTACCAGCTTAGGAAAAATTACCAAATATTACTTCATTTGATATCAAGCAACATGGTAATAAAATCATGTTTTACTGTTAATAATACCAAAAATCATTGCAAAAGCACTTCAGCAAAATTATCACGCTTTTTGGGGCCCCCATGCAGCCAGAAAGACGGAAAATTTTACATATTCCAGTAGTTGTTTTCAAGAAAGATATTTTCTTTTTGTAAGTAAAAAAATTCCTTTTATTTATGCATTTAGTTCAGAAAAAAATGGAAATTTAAAAACATGAAGTTCAATTTTTATTCAATCACAGAAAACAGAACATAGCAAAAGCAAAGCACTATATACAAAAGAATATCGATTATTTTTGCAATTATTACTAATACTAAGATTTTTTAATTGTTTATAATTAAAATTTTCCTCGAAAATGAATCTTGGATTTTACCTAATGATTATAAGGAATATAATAGAATTAAGTGGTTTTGATAAGCAAGTAAATGACAAACATAAAGGTTGAATTTTTGTGCTATCAATAAATATTTCTTCAAAACAACACATTTGAATTATATTTATTAAAAACTATAGAAAAAGGCATTAAGCCAATCAATTCCATTTAAAATTAAACAAAATACATCGAAGAATACATGAAAAATTGTCAATCAGATGAAGGAAGTATATGAATAAAAACTACGTCCTACTATTCGAATATTTACAAATTGGAGCTCTTATAACTCGCTAACAAAAGCTCCGATTTACAATAGTTTGCTGCATATAAAGAGAAAAGTACCAGATGATATTTGTTTAAAAGTCTAAAAGAGAAAGACTATTTGCTTGGTTTTACACTTATAGTATAATATTATATGTATAAAATAATGAAATATTTATTTTATAATTGCATTTTAAAAATATATAGTTAATTATAGCCCATCTACTAAAGCTATAATTACTACTTACTTCTCTGATGAAAGAAAAACACAAGCAGAGAGATATGCATATGGTAAATTAACATAATTTGACACTATCCCCGTTCCCATTTATTTATTATTAAGAACATTTTGAAAGTTTTAAAAATAAAATGCATGTTATAAATTTTTGAAAAATACATAAAATATCAAGTTTATATTTGTATTTGAAAATTTAATAAATTATAACCCAATTACTGCCCATTTCTCTTACTGCCCATTCTCATTTCTCTCATCACTCTTCTTCAAAACATATATAAATGTTTGAATAAATATAATTTGACCCTATTCCCGTCCTTTAGGGCAAAAAATGTGCCAAATAAGAGTTGAATTTTTCTCATTAAGCTCTTTTCAATTTTATTGTGTTATTTCAATGATATTTTTCCCTCATTTCCTAGAATAATTAGATTGATTTTTGTTATCAAATGCCAATAAATGAATTTTTTATGTTATATACAGTGTGCAAAAATAAATATCATTGAGCAATTGTAATACTTCGAAATTTATTTTTGTAAAGATCAGGTTCCTTCTTTTAATAAAAAAGCAATTACATTTTATTGAAACTATCGTAGATTATGCCTAGCTTTCTGTAGAGCATAAAATTAAAATTAATGTTGAAAAATAAATAATTAAAATAGTACACACTAATTGTGCATTATTTTAATAATTTGATTATTTTAAATAAGAGCAACTTTTGTTGGAATATTATGAAACATTTTAAATTTAATTAACATGATCTCCGGGAAAATAATTTTGTGTATACATATTTAAATTTTTATGATAAATATGATTCATAATACTTAAAAAGTACAAAAGCTTCAAGAGAAAAATAATGCAGAGAAGTAATTATTGAGATACGATACAATAATCAATTAAACAGGCATTAATGATATCTACATCTATCTTAAATTATAATTTGTCAGATTATAATACTATTTTTTAGTTCTCTCCCATTCTTAACTATTAACTTCTAACCTTCAATCACTATGTTTTTGTCTTCATATTTTCCTATCCTATCGTAACTGTATATTAAGCGCAGTCATTACGGAACATCCTCCATACAATTTCATATCGGATAAGTATTATCAACAAGCAGATTCTTAATTTTATACATTATTCCAATTTAAATATAAACAACGAAGATAAAAATTAAAATATTAAGCATGAAATGAGTAACATTCTTATTTTGAAGACAGCATTTAAAATTCTACAAACAATTACATATTTCACGGGTACCAAAATAGCAAGTCTCTTATTAATCTCAGATTTCCTTTAAATTCCAATACTACTTTTCAGCTGTGTTTAAGCCTTTATGTAAATCACTAATAAAATGCAGCATATTATTAAATTACATAATTTTTGAAACCTTATCTACTGGTACCTCAATAGTAAGTATCTATTGTTATTATTATTAATCTCAGATTTCATCTTAAATTTCATACTCGTTTTCAGTTATGTTTAAGCTTTTATGTAAAGCGCTAATAAAATGCAGCTGAAATTTGCTTTTATTTTAACAGCCGTTGGAGGCATTGATGAAGCCTTAGAGGGGAATTCTCCTTGCATTGTTGTTGAAGATGGTCGACATAGCGGTAGTGGAAGTACTGGTACTCCTTTGTCTCTTCTAACAAAAGGCGAGTAGTCATTAAAATCCACTTTCATTTTGCACATTCTTATTTTGTTTAATCGCTAAACTAGCGTGCATATTATAATTTTTTCTATTTTACTTATTTTATATAAAAGGATTGTGCAAAAAATAAACGACGCGACGTCACTAAGTTCAGTTTGGAGCAATGTGGTAAAAAACCATCAAACCTATCATTTCTGGACATCGTTTACAGTATATACAGATGGATACAAGTGCAATGCCATTCATCTCATGTTATTTCCCACTACCACTTTCATTTGACCCATAAATCAATTAATCACTTTTACTTTCTTTTTTTTAATGTTAATCTTTATTTTGAACCATTATGTTTATCTCTCTATGCAAGCTATAAGCTAATTCTCTTTTCTTGATATCTTCCAGCTTTATGCTTCGAACCTTTCTACAATTTTTGCATATATGAACTAACTGAAATATCGGTTAGTTAAATTTCCAGTAAAATCTCTCTAGAAACTTCTTTTCTAAAAATTTCTAATTAGTGGAGTTATGATTTGTTTATAAAAGGATTATTTGATTGTAATGACGATAATTTACCACACAGCTGTAATGATATGAGCTCAAAAATTTGATGAAAAATAAAGCGAATAAATGAATGCAGCTTAAAGATCTTTTTTTTAAGTTCTTCTTTGTAAATTTTTAAGGCTGCACACTTTTAGTGTGACATATTCTGTGATCATGTAATTAAAAAAATAGAAGATGGAAATAAATTCCTTGAAATCACTTTTGGTTGATTTCTACATTTTTAGATTTTGTAAAACCAACACGTTTATAATAAACGAATGCAATCTGTTATGCAAACACAGTAGGAGATTATATATTATTTAGCTTGATATTATTAAACTTATATATTATTAAACTTATACATAATTGAACTTTAAAAATTACATTTAATTTATATCACGAGAGTTTTGAAAATAAAAAATTTAGTTCTGCAATTTTCCAAAAAAAATTTGTTTTAATAGTGAATACAGTACAATGTAAAATGAAAAGTCCTACCTATATATTTAAGACCAAAAGTTATCAGTAAACAGTTTATCAGTACTTTTAACTGTTTATTCAACATTTATCATAAAAGAGTATCAAAATGGACAGAGCACTCACCGTCAGGAATCGAGCCTCGGATCCTATTTAACAATATTTTAGGTAAACTAATTTACTTCTACCATATACTACGTAAACAATTTTAAAATCAAGAATAATAAATTGTTTGAAAAATGTTCATAGTGTCAGAGTTAGTGAGAAGTAAGAGTTACAATTATCCTCTATAAATACTCATCTAGATTAGTAACGTTAAATTATTTCTTTTTCAATATGAGTGGCACTGTAATATTTAAATAGTACTGTGCAGGACACAACGTAGTACTTGAAATAGCACTGTCAACTTTCCAGAAGCCGAGATAAATACATTTTTCTAAGGGAGTGAAGAGCTGAATGAATGCTAAATAAATACTCCAATAGATATTGAGCGTTTAAAGCTTAGTTTCATAAAGAAACTGTGATTACCAACTCTGAAAATATATGGTCAAAACTACCAGAATATGGTAAAATTTACCTTGTTTCTTTCTCTGAGGGAACACCAGAAATCTCGATAATTTTTATCTCATCACTTTGACGTTGATTTTGGTGAAATTAATAATAAAATATAGTTTTATAATATGTGCCAAAATTTGGCAACCATATTAATCAAAGCTATCGTTTTTTTTTTTAAATCAGAAAATCAGAAATTCCTTTGCAGTACAGTAAGGTAATTTTACCAGAATTCTTCGTGCATCAACTTCAAAGGAAAGTTGTTTTTTTTTTTGTTTTTTTTTAAGCTAATATGTACGTTTATTGTGGTTTAAAGAATAGGCAGCAGGGCCCTAAGTGCTGTCAGGCTTGGCTTACGCATTTATATGGATTAATGAATCCTAGACATTACAGTGTCACTAAGTTAATTTTAAAAAAAAGGTACTTTCTTAAAACACATTTAAATGTGTAGTAGAAAATAAATGGCATTTGGAAATCAATTAATTCTTATAACTATTGCACCTAATTTGTTTTAGGAGACTGATTCACCAATTTAAGCAGCATGCAATTATATATTTAATTCTACATAAATCATGATTTAACTGATTTCTTCCAAAATGGTGTTTGTTATTTCAATAAAAGGAAGAAAAGAAAATCAAAAATTTACTAGTTTTTTGAGCATAAAAAATATATTTAGTTTTAGAGAAATGCATCATTTTTTCATGAAATAATTAAAATTAATTTATGTGTTTTGCATGTTATAAAAGTACACGTTACTATTTATATAATAATAATGCATTATTTTTAATAAAAAATTCTTTTATTTGATTTATTAAAAGCAAGTTTGCTAGTTTGCTAGAAAAAAATAAGAAACGAAAGTACGCATTTTTGTGAAATATTATATTTATTGCGAAATATATTCATTATTTTTGATATTAAAATTGTGTCACTAGATCAGAATTGTTTTCAGCTATTTTTGTACAATTTTAAAAATATTTCATTTCGTGAGAAATTAAATATGCAGAAACAAATTTATTTCCGTAAATAAAAACCTACCGAGTGCTTATAACTTTAACAGAATTCATGAATTAAAAATGAGATAGAACGAGGTTTTTCATTACATATGAAGCTCACAAAAGGTTTTATTTTTTTAAATATGCTTTACTGAAAAATCTTCAATTGCTAAGCTTTTAAGAAATACCTATGACAAATCTTATTTTTAAGTTTTGCATTCACAATTCAGGTAAATATTTACTTACGTTTAACTTTTTTTTTTCATTTTGGAGTCCTTACCTTTTGTGTCAAACATATCTTCAACGAGTATGGCAATTTACTTTTCGCTTATCGCAAAAACTTCTTAAATTTGAAAAAAATAATAAAAACTTTCAAAATAAATTGATGTTTTAAATTCTAAATACCTTTGAATTTCAATACTCTTTCATTCGTTATTATTTTTTTTTACTTTCTCAGAAGCACTTAAGTTCCTGAAATCTCTATTTTTAAATCAAAACTGAAAGAAAAATTATATTAAAAATAAAAACTCAAGATAAATTCGTTTTTTAAACAGTTGTGTTTTCTAAAAAAATATGCAAGTTGTTGATAAATATTGTATAAAAATAAATAATACTATTAATTTTTTTATTAAGTATTATTACAGTATGTAAACATCACAAAGAGAATGGATTTTTCTACATATAAGTTTATATCTTTCACAAAGTGTATTCTAAAGTATATAGTTACGTATGTTTATTTTAATTACTTATTTTGAAAATCTATCAAAAAACAAATGACTAAAATTAAATTTTAGACAGAAAGAAATTAATTTAAAGGGTAACATAATTAATTGAGCTAAGAATACGGAATTACAACAGTTTCCTGAGAAATTACAGTAGCATAGTACACTGTAATTGAATGCGCTAAAATACTGACAGCAAATTTAAAAAGAGCAAAATCAAAAAGATCACAGAACGATAAGTCTTAAAAAAGTTGGTTAAAGATCTGAAAATATGGTATAATCTTTTGAAGGTAAAGTTATTTAGTCAAAAAAATTTTCCTAGATTATAAAATATTTTTAAGGAAATCAGAAAAATCGCTTACTAGATAAAAAAGCCTAAACATGTTTCAGAGGTAAAAAAAACTATATTTTAGTTCCTAGATAGAATGTAGATTGCTAACACTTATTACGGAAACAATTTTAAACTTAATAAGAATACTTTTCAAATTTTGCATGCATTGACAAAAGGATCCAATATTGAATTAAAACAACTATACGCACTGTTCGGAGTTCATTAATACTGATTAGTAATATACATTGCATGGAATTTATTAGTACCAAACAGTTTTTGAATCCAAAATTCATGTAGTCTTATACTTACATACTTATGTACAAATATTACATCAATTTTGAACATTAACAAGCATGTTTTTATCGAAATAAAACTCACGAATTAGCTTGTAATATTTTTTACCAAGTATTTTGCTAAATATTAGATCATTTATAAAATATTTGCGTTCCTTAATATTTTTTATAATACATTTTTTTGAAAAAAAAGAAGAAAGAAAAAAAAACATTTATAAAAGGCAAATAAGATTCGAACTATTGCAACTAATAGAGAGATGGACTTTGTAGAAAAATTCCTCAGAGACAACCGAAACATTTTGTTTAAAAAAATTAAGTACTTCTTTAGGCAGAAGTGTTTAAAAGTTCATATTTTATTGATTTTACTAGCGTTGTATTACTCACAACATAAAACTTCTAACGTTTTCAACAAAAAAAAAAAGTTCTTTAATTTCCCATACTAGACAACAACCGAATTTTAGAAGGGCATGCTAATCTCACTATCTAATACTTTACACTGTCCGAAGAAAAGTGACAAGATGTGCTAAGAGAAAGAATATAAGCGCCTGACAAAATAACAATGCTTGCAAGCAAGCATCGGGATTACCCTTGAAATTGAGACTATAATACCATTAATCTCCAACTCTGCATGGGAAAATACTTTGCCCAAAATCATCCCCTACTACACTCGACTCATTAAGCTAGTCTTAAGCAATCTTCTAGCTGTCGATAGAAATAATTTTTCTTAAAATAGAGAGAGGAGGGAGCATTCTAAAGATTTGGTGCATATGCGTTGATGGCATAGGTGTAAGCGAATTCGTTAATTTTGTTTGTAAAGAATCGCAATGAATCAGAAAGCTGATTGCGTCGAACGCAATTTCAGGGATATTGACATAGATTTTTATGTAGTTTATTTTCTCCTCTAGATGCGTTGCCAGGTTTCTTTGTCGCCATTCAAATTTATTGCATAAAAAAGTTTATATCTGTTACACTTTGATGGGGAAAGTATGCAAAACTAAATTCTTTCTTTTTCCTTAAAAGAAACGAAGACTGGAGTGCAAAATGGTAAAGGCAACCAATTTTTTTTAATTGCATTTGGGTAAAATTTAAATTATATGAATTAAAGTAGTTCATTTCAACGTAAAATAATTATGTTAAAGAATATGGGATTCTGTTTATAAACTTTAATTCAACTAACAATAAGTACAAAGATTACAATACAGATTACAATAATAATGGAGCAAACTTTCATAAAATATATTCATTTTATTATATATCCATACATTTATTTTGATGCCCATTCTGCAAATTCTGTGCATTTGATTCTGAATTCCTTTCTTTTATACAAAAATAAAAACATATTATTTTAATTGCATTCAGTGATTATATCCTAGGTAAATTATTTTAAGAATATAAATTTAACTGTCAAACAACAAAAAATTATGCACTTAAATATGTGCACACTTTGTTAGACTTAAGTTTGACTTAATACATCCAAAAAATTTATTTTACGAAGTCAAAATAATTTTTAAATTAATAAACATGCTGAAACGCATTTATAAAGCATTATAAATCTTTTTTTAATTTTTAGTATGTTATTCATTTTCAAGTAAATAACTAATTGTATAACTTTTTCAAAATATCGCTTTTCGAATAAAATGCATCTAAAATATTTTTTTTATAAATAAGTACTAATTAAACTTGTTTTTAAATCCGCATTGCAAACACCAGATTAGGACAAATGACGAAATTAGATATTCAATGAATCATGAAAGAAATGTTTATTTAAATTAAACTCAATATTGATTTACCTAATTTCCAGTATTTCTTGAAAATGTCTTTGGCTAAAAACATTGTTATTGTAAGTAATTTTTGTAATATCGTTCTGAATAAAAATTTATAATTATTTCGAAGAAAATATTCCTATTATTTCTTACAATAGACGCTAATAATCAAATTTCTCCTTCCTTTTCCCCTATTTTAACTTCTACCTTTTTAAAAACAACATTTTTGTGTATTCAAATTTGCACTTTTATTTAGATTATTCTTAAAGCTCTGGATTAAGTATGTGTTTGGGAATATGGATGTTTTTAGATTATAAACTGCAATTCCTAAAACACATTTATTCAATAATAGATGTGTTAAATCCTGAAATGTTATATTTCTTTCATATAAAATATTTATATTGGTAGATTAATATGCTGGTTTGTTTTTGTATTACTCATCATGACCACTATCAATCGATTTCGAACAGCACAATACGAACTAAACACATAAAAGAATTATAATTTATAATAGCACTGCGTTGTGTCTGAAATCTAATGTCCGAATGTTTTTCGAATATACTGTTGGCATTAAACAATGGACAAATTGAAGAATCTGCAAATCGAAATTCGAGCAGTTGTCCTACAAGGTAGTAATGTCTAGTCCTGTTTTAAGGATGTCTGACTCTAGGCGATGCTCAGAGTATTGATGGAATGTCAAATCTAATGGTAATGCCAAATCTCAAACACACAAAAGACATTCATTGTGTCCTTATTTTTTATTGCTTTTTTGAATAGAAAAACAAATATTTGTAATTTTTGTGTAATACTTACCTTTTGTGTTCTACTTACATATTTATATATGAAACTTTAAGTTAACCAAAGTACTTAGTTAGACCATTACTGTTGCACCAACCAAATTCGCTTTTCTTTGCTAAACTTTCAATTATGGAAAAAATCCTTTGTTTAACGTTACCTAGATAGAAACACACCACCCCCGATTATTTACGCATATCACAAGTTGTAAAAAATATAACAAGAACAAGAAATAAACCATAAAAGAAATCAGAAAGCTATCCTGGTTATGGCAACTATTTTCAATGGCAATTCCATTTTCATATAAAATTGCATCGCAAGGTTAAATACCCGCCGTTGTTGCAAAGAAAAAAAAATCGTAAATTATTAAACTAGAAATTCACCCTTAATTGAATTAGAAGGCACTAGATATCCACAAGTAAATCCAACTTTTTTCACTTTACATAGAATTTTTTATTATGTATTTACTAATATACATGATATAATAAACATTTATTTTTAGATGTTGGACGGATTACATTGCCACAACCTATCTGTACAGTTGTTCCCCGCGATATATCAGAATATGAAGAATTACCACCTGGTAATGAAGATTCTAGGACTCTTCAACCCCAGGAGTCATGGAATACATTTTTTAGCCATCCAGAAGCATCTTTCGTTAGGCTTAATTTTTCTATGCCCCATAATTCCCGATTGGCTTTGTTGGCAAGAAAGAATGAGCCCCCATCTATTACATCTTATGATATCATGGAAGTTATTGGCGATGAAATGAGAAGATACGTAAGAGCAGCATTGGTGAGTGTACTTATTTGTATGGCTTATAGGAAACCTAATTGTAAATAAACGAAAATTATATAGAAAAATAGAGCCAATTTTATCAATATAGTTAACCTTTTGCTTACGGCTGGTACAACATGTATACCACATGTAATGGTACAGCATATTGTACCGTAAGCAAAGGGTTAAGTAAAACTCGTGCAAATGTTTACAATTTTTATACATAACTGTGATTGACTATGTTTAAATGATATAATATTTTTGATATCAGAGAGGAAGTGTATTTCTAACATTCCAAAATTTCTGAAATAGCAGACAAGCCATCAGAAAAAAAAAACAATTAAGAAATATTTTTAAAAGATCAGGCACAAAACCACGTGTGTGTAATAAAATAAAATTACGCATTAATGATCTTTTTGAAACTGATTTAAACTATACTTTTTAAGAACGTCATTAAATGCTGCTCATTGTATATCGTTGAGCACTATTCAAATCTTAGTATTAAAATACAAATAAAATAAGCTACTGCTGCGAAATATTTTTGAGCAAATAAGAAAATAATCAAACGGATTTCCATTGACGTGATAGAGGAAGTATTTTTTTTTAAAAATCAAATTAATTTTTCAATTTGCTAGCAAAACACTTTCATTTAAAGTCTGAGGGCGTTTATTGTTATTATTTCAGAGCTTAAAACTCAAATTCAATTTTATATTGAGAAAATCAATTTTACGCAATATGAAGTAATATGATATTTTAACTCAAAATATGGAATCCCTTGTTGACAATTCAATACAAAACAAAATTTATCAAAAAGTAATAGTTAGTTCCTTACAGTATTTCGTAAAAGTAATAGTTTCTGTAGTTATAAACGTTTTATATTGTTGATGAAGGCAATGGGTGATAACCATTTGTTATGCAACTTAAAATAATAAAAAATGTATTAATAATATGATATTAAGTTATGAAACCCAAAATAATTTTGTAAATCTCTTTTATATTTGCATTTTTGCTATTTTTTATTAAAAATTATTAAATTGCATAGAAAAAAAAAACAGCAAGATTTTTTAGTACATATTAAGAAGGGATTTAAGCGTCGGAAACAGCTTAAAAACTTCGAGTAAAACTGAAAAAAGTTATGAATTTGAGAATCATTTGATGTTTCTTTATAAATCCAAAAACGTATATAGGAAAACATCTGTAATCCACTCGTACTTCGATTTTAAATGGACCTAGACACTCTTAGAGTTTAAACCCGTTCGAATTTGTTAGTACATCTCGTTTATTCTATTCAGACTTCTCCACTTGCGCGTTTGAAAAGAAATCCTCATTCCTCAGAGCTTTTAAATTAGCTCCCATCAAGATATGATAAGCAGGAAATAGCTCTAAAAATAAAAACTGATGGTGGATTTCTAGGTACGCCATTACAGAAAACTTCCAAAATGGCGCAAGGAGTTATAGATTCTGTCATTTTCTCTGGATGGCCTTAGCGCTTTCGTGGGACGGCGCCATCAGTTTCGCTTTGACGGTGTACATTCTGGTTAATTACGTCATTACCTCATAACGGTTATGCTGTCCGAGTAAGAGACAACTGGTTCACAGATAATAAAAGAACATTTATTTTCGTGTATATTATGAGACCATATTTCCAGTTATGGTCTCTTGTCGAAAAGACAGCAGGTCAGCTAAGCACTCTCTTTTTTTTTCTCCATGGAAACTGATGAGCATCACAAAAAAGGTATTTTATATGAATGAGCTTTTGTAAAAATTATATTTAGTTCATGAATTACCTTCATAACGGTAAAACAGAATTACTTCTGATGAATGATTATCTCCCAGAAAAAAATATTATCGTCTTTACAAACCCTAACGATAATATATTGATGGCTTAATATATTATCGTTAGGTTTGTAAAAAAATAGTAATTAAATAAAGTCTGCTTTTACTCGGCATTAAATTTTGAAAAGTATGTGTCTTAAGAACTCGTATCATTTATTTACTATTCATACATTTTAATTTATTCCCATATGTTTTATCATTTTTAAATAAGTCTGATTTTAAATATTTCAACAGACAACATTTGATTTCGTTTACTTTAGTTTAACCAGAACGTCATTCATTAAACAAGAAAAATCTATCCTAACTAGTCTAGCATCAGTAAGACATTCTATTGGCCATGTGTCTACCAGTGATTTCAATGTAGGTTGTAAAGTTGTAAAGTAATAAGTATCGTAAGGGTAGGGGGCAATGTGCGATGTAGTAAAGGGCAATGTGCGATGTAGTAAGGGGCAATATGCGTATTTCTATTCCGTGTTTGTTTATTTCTCTCTAAAAGTGCAAAAACGGAATGGTAAAAAATATTTTGTTTCCAAAAATAAATCATTCTATTTGTTTACGTCTTTTTTTTTTAGATATTTATTTTATGTATTCAATAAACTTTTAGGTTTAATTCTACGGTGTTTTAATTCTACGGTAATTCTATGGTATGGACTTCTATGCCATTTCAATAAATAAAGCCAATAAGTTATTTTTTAAATTAAAGCTTTTTTGTTTTAACTGATATTATAATGCAACTCAGTTTATTATAACCACAAGGAGAAATATGTATGTTAAAATTTTCATAAATGTAACTTCACCAAAATTTACTACATAAAAGTAAAAATTATTACTGAAGATATGAAATATAGTATTTATCCATATAGTATTTATATAAAAAAGTATAGTACAGTTTTAAAAGAAAAAAAATAATATGCTTTTTTCTGTTACAATAGAGGTTTTTTTTCTTAAAAGCCAACGTGTTTGTGCACATGATAAAGAGTTTACAAAGCAATAATACTGAAAATACGTAAAATTTAATATGAGATAAATATGGGCAACTTCATGAATATCTATAATGTGTAATAATTAATTTATATAAATTGTTTAACTGAAGTAAATCTTGCAGCTTTTGATTAGTTTGTAAAAAATTAGAATTGTGTATAAACAAAGGTATATGAAAAACTAGATGTTTTCTTTCGTGTAGTCTTACACCATATGTGTTTGTTTAGAAACGAAATTAAAATTGTAAATACCTTCTTATCATTAGTCAAATTAAATATGAGAAGAAACTTTCATAAAATATAGTTTCATTGTACCCTGAGTTTCACTTTTAGAATCTTTATATTCTACCGGCCAATTTATATATTTTTATGTAATTTTAGGCTTCTTTTCTTTGTTATATTTCTGTGTTTGCCGGATTGATTCCATTTATCATTTAAATCAGATGATATATCTATCTTTTTTTTCCATTTGTAATAGAAAATATTTAAACTCAACGTTTAAGCAGACCTATTGACAATTTTATTCCTTTTTTTAAACAGGCATATCATAAATGAAACATCTAACATTATTAAATTAACTCTTAACTTAGCCTCGATACAAATTTGAATTATAGTTTTAAATTTCGATCTGCTGTATCTTTAATCTCAATCCCTTTGCCGAGAATATTTCCCCAATTTTTACATTATCCAAATTAGCTGCACGTCACGTCATCTCAATAAACTTTTATGATATTAAATATGCATTCATTACCATTTGCATAATGATTTTTGAAAAACACAGCATTTACCCAACCCCTATAATTATGTCGTTTAAAATAAAAGACACAAGAACAAAATAAGTGACGAATTTGTTTTTACAAGTATAAATTCAAAAGGGAATAATTTTGGAAATAAACTGCTCTTGTTCCGTTATAGTCTGTCACGCAATATTAACAGAACAGTGCTTTGATGATTTATTTCATACAACTTTATTTCCCTAAATCGTTCCTTATGTGTAAGTGGGGATTATAAAAAAAATATTTATTCTTATAGCTATAACGTAACTTATATTAAGGCTCATTTGTTTATTTTACAGCAAAAATTAATGCTCTCAAATTCAAATATAGAAAAAAATCGCACTGTTGTTGATAATTAGGCTTTAAATTTATGACACTTCAAGCAAAATTGGGAATAATTTCACTTGATTTCAAATAAAAGCATTGATGAGTTTTATATGATGTTGATTTTATGAGGCATAAATGAAGTTAAAATATCTAGATAGTTACCTAAATATTTAATTGCTGATTTTGCAGCTAAAAGTTAAATAACTCTCAAATTCAAATACAGTAATAAAAATCTTACTGCTCAGGTTTCAAATTTAGGACACTTCAAGCAAATAAGTATAATTGAGGTGGTAATAATGTCACTCGATTTCATCTAAAAGATTGGTGAGGTTTATATGAGGTTGATTTTATGAGATATAAATGAGGTTGAAATTGAGGTTTATTGGTGAGGTTCCTTTTGGTGCAAAACATAACTTCCTTTCTATCACAGATGTTTTCTTTTGCACCTGTCAACACGAAATAAACTAAAAAATACCATAGCTTTGAAAGAATTTTGAAAAAAATAATAATCTAAAAGTATGACATTTTATAAAAAGGAATAAAATACTTTTTGAAATATTAAAACTTAGCTATTAGAATTACATATTTTAAGCATTAAAAAATTTGTATTTAATAATGATTCAAGTAAATTGCTAATTTTGTATAATTATTTCAAATAATTATTTTCATGTAATTATTTTTATATAATTATTTTCATATAATTATTTTTATATAATTATTTTAATAAAATCATTTTTATAAAATTAAAAATTTGAAACATAGAAATGATTAATTTAAATTTAATAAAACTTAATATTACTTTTCAAGTGCTGATGAGAGTGTTTTTTTATTAACGGAAATTGCTCTAGAGATATGGCGAGAGACCCGAAAGGTAAGAAAAATCCATCAATAATTTGAAACTCTCAGCTGTTTTCAAGCTGATGTTGATTGGTCCATAATTTTAAAATGTTGCATCATTTTGAGAGTAAAGAATCCTGATGCGTAATGTTTTCTATTGCATTAAACGAAATTTAAAAGATATATTAAAATTTCGTCACTCGAACAAAGTACATTGTATCACGTGTAAACATATATCAATTAAAATATGGTTCAATTTAGA